AATACAAACTTTGAAGAGCTATATCACAAAATTTTATTAATACAATTATTTTTGTATCTTAAATAAAAAATAATTCTAATCTTATTTTAAATTAATTTATATAAAAAAAAATATTTTTTGAAAAAATTGTTAATTTGGTTTTTTTTTTCAGCATTTAGTTTATATGTTTTCATAAAACTCATTCTATTACTATATTGGTTATTATGTTTAAAAATTCTTTTGTTTTTTTAAGTAACTTTAGTATATTTTGTATTTGCTTAATTATTTTTTCTTAAACTAAACATTTGACTATTTCTATTCTTGTTTCTTTTTTTTCTTATTTGTTTATTTACTAAAAAAAATTTTTAAGTTGTCTTTTGCTTATAGTTACTTGTGTTTTACTTAAGCGTTTAGCCTATGCAAGATTAATTAATAGATTTTCTTTTTTTTTAGTTGTTTTTATAATACTTGCATGCTGCTAAATGTTATTGGTTTTTTTCTTCTTTTTTATTGTAGAATATATAAAAAGAACTTTTATAAAGGTTTGGTTTTTGTTATATTAGAGATTTTAATAATAGCAACTTATTATTAAAACAATTAATTAAAGTTTCTATTTGTGTATTTTTTTTTTGACTTATATATTTGTTTCTGCTTTGGTTTTTAATTTTTTTCTATAAGTATATCTAATTATATATATTCTTCTTATCATCTGGCTTTATCTTTTTAATTGCTAATAAAAAACCCTATTTAGTTTCTGTTTGTAAGTTTAAAATTTCTTTAATAAACTTTCTTATTGAATCTTTTATAATTTCTTCTTTTCAATAAATTGAAATGCTAGTCTTTTGAGAAGTTTTTTTTACTATTTTATCTAAACTATCTATTTTGGCTTCTTTTTTTTGCCCAACTATTTGCTCTATTGTTTTATCTATTATTACTATGGCATTTTATTTTAACTAAATCTATATTTTTTTTTTGAATATTAAACTAGCCTCTTTTAGAACTAGGACTTTATTTAGTAAATTAGAATATAAAAACTCATGATCAAAGCCTTAAAGAAGTTATCTTATATTAGAAAATACAACTAGCTATATATGCACTTTTGGTATTTTTTTTTTTTTTTTTTTTTTGTTAAAGGTCATACTTGTGGCAATACTTTATTGACTTTATATCAGGTTAGCTATTACAATTATTTTTCAGAGATGAGAGTACAGCTAGTTACACATGCAACTTTTGGTTGCCTATTTAAGTAGTCCACTCTAAGGTTCTATACTAGATGCTATATCTATAATCTACTAGAAGATTATCTATTTAAACCCTTTGATCATCTGCTTTGTCATATTGGAATCTCTAACTAACCCTCCATATATACCTAACCAGTATACCATCTGAGCAATATAGTACCTACCTTTTTTGTATTGGTTCCTAGACCATTACATATTTCAGAGTATATTATCTGCCAGTAAGGTGCAGGAGGCCTCCTGTTATTAACTATCTATCTATTTTTAGAACACTAACATAGGCTACCCTTGCAGAGTTCACCCAGACCCCAGTACTAACTTCACAGCATATCTCCAGTACTTTTAGTATACCCTTGCTTTGAATTCAGATTCCCAATCCAGATAGCCCAGAAGAACTGTGACCTGTCCTTAGTATATTGAGACCAGCCCAATATCTTTTTCTTTCAGTCTGAAATCTGGTGGCCTGATTGGTGGTACCCTTACCCAAGGTTTTTGCTCACTCGAATTCTTCACATTGGTATCCATTTTCTAAATCTAGCTTTTACAGTAGTATTGTTAAAGCTCCGTGTTACCTCTCTGCTCAGAATTTCCAAGTAGGCTCTGGCTTTCCAGTTCTACAGATTTATATGGTCTAAGGACTTATTTTAGGTTTGCACTACCTGGTACTGGTTTGCATTCCTCTGTATAACAGATTACACAGATGCCCCAAACCTGCCAGTTATGCTTGTATGACTATAGTTACAGGTATCCTATTCCAACTGATCGACAGAATGCCATCACCATAATACCATCTATATATTACATAGGTGATTATCTAAATTTCACTGTCAGTGGGTTTTGAACTCACAACTTACCACTTGGAGGTATGACAACTTATTCACTTCACTAAGTTGCTACACCTTTCACTTTTGGTATTTAATTTAAGTAGTCCACTAATAGTTCTATACTAGCTGTTATACCTGCAACTCAGCTAAAGGCATTGCTTATTTAAACCTTCTGTACTGCAATTTCTACTATGTCACTAGATTATTTCTAATACAGACATTAGTCAAAAAGATCTAGATACTTTTATTCATACTCTTAGGATCCTATACCTTATTTCATACAATGTATCTTTAGAAGCATTATTACTAAAGCCTTCTGTGTTCTACATATAGCTAACCTAATTTTATATAATATGCTATAGTTACCTAACACTTGCAATTATAGTGTTATCTGTTTAATTGCTACATTACACTATTTCTATTCTTGTAAAATTCATCTAAATTCTGGTACTTATCTTTTTGACTTTTTCTCTTTATCCCTCTACTATTCAACTCAGAATCTGACAAACTCTTTAAACTCCCAATTCAGATAGCTCAATGTAATATATCTTAGTAATCTTTTCTTTTATCAATTCCAGTGTCCTGATTAGTTATATACTCTTCTATATATTTTTCTATTCAGTTATATCTGCCTATTTCTTATTAAAGTTTTCTGGACTTCTATCAGTCTAATAGTACCATTGAAGATTTGTGCTACCTCTTTACTTAAAAATTTCTAAATAGGCTTTTGTCTCCTCAGTTTCTTGATCTTCTAGATCTAATAATCTTATTGCAGATTTGCACTAAAGTCTTATATGATACTAGTTATTAACATTTTTTTATATATATATAATATTATACTTTGCATAAATACTATGAACTCCTAATAACAAGTAGAACCCAATTGGTTGTATTTAAGATTACAGATATCTAAATTCAACCAATTAACAAAAAACAGTTTTTTATAATACAGGTTAATTTTTAAATTTTATCATAAATAGGATTTGAACCTTAATCTGCTACTTGAAAGATGACAACCTAATCACTATACTAAGATTGCTATCCTCTAACTAAATCTATTTTTAAATTTTTTAACTTAATAATGTTTTTAATGTTCTTTAATAAATTGTAATTTTTTCTTTTTAGTCATTATCTAATAAATTATTTTTTTTCTGTTTTTAAGACTTGCAATTGCTATTGTGCTATTTGTATAAATCTTTACTTTTCTTTGTTTTGATATTGCAAATAAAATAAACCAAATCGAAAAGCTTTAATTTTGTTAATAATAACTAATTTTATATATCTAAACAGCTTTTACTTAGTATTTTTTTTTTTTTTTTTTTAGTTGCACTTAGTCTGATCCTATTTGGTCTACTGTTGAATCTTCTTTTTCTAATACTCTTTTTAGTGAATCATTTATATAAAAGGTCAACATTTTTTTAGATCTTTCTTTGTTTTTTGGGTTAAGTTTTATAAGTTTATTTTTTATTAGCTAGCTAATAAGTTGTTTTTTAATAATTTTAATGTTTAAATTAGAGTATATAACTTTAGTAGCTTCACTTTCATTTCATTATGCTCTTTTTCTCTTATTTTTTGTAAAAAGTTTATTATTTTTTGGTCCAACTTCAGAGTTTGTTGTTTACATTTTCTAACATAGTTTGAAATTTATTTCTGTATTTTAGTTTTATTAATTTATTTTTTATAGCCTGAAATAATTTGATTTTGATTTAATTCATAGTTTTTACTTTAAATAAAGTTACTTTTGCTATTTCTGTTTGCTTTACTTTATATCAGTATTAGAGATAGGCATCAGATACATCATACTGTGCATGCATGTGATTCTGCATGTATATGATGTGCACTTAATTGCTTGTACTATATAAAATGATAATCATGATAATAATCATAACCCAATTGCAAGTCAATGAAAAGAGAGTTTATAACAGTTATTGTTAATAAGAGCTAGCACTAGTAAGAGTTAGTGCTAGTAAGAGTTAATGTTTGTAAAGTGTACTTATATGTATACAAAAAATAGAATTTATAAGCTTGCATTTTGCTGAGATGCATTTATAATATATATTTTTTTTATTCACCTTTGCTTTTGCAAGATCCTAAAGATTAAAGACTAATTTTGAGTTTACATACAGAAAAAAAAAATCAAAAGCTACTAAAGGTATTTTTGAATATTATGCTATGTTTATTATTATTTTTTTTTGAATTTATATCAATGTTAAATCTTTGCAATGTCTATATAGGCATCTTTTTTTTTTATACAAATTTTTCTTTACACTTAAAGCTTAGAGACTTTATACAAAAAAAAAAAAAATTTAAAAGTACTTATTTTAAGGTTATCTTGTGCTATATTTACTTATTGCTTATGTTATATTATTTGCTTATTACTTGCACTTAATTATATAATTATTTATTCATACTGTATTATTTAAGGTTTAGAAATTTTCAGCAAAAAAAAAAAAAAACTAATTAACAGCAGCCAAAGGTATATTATTTTATTTATTTCTTTAATACTAAACATGATATATTCTTATATCTACAGTTTTTTTTTAATAGTCATTACAAGATTTTTGGTACCTGATTTTTATATATCTGCAGCTGTTTCTTTTCTTTCATGGTCTTTCTTTTATGAAATTTTGAATGTTTTTTATTAAAGCAGTTAAAGGTAACTATTTTAAAATTATGCTATAAGTTGTTTATTTAATAATAATTTTATATTATATAATTAATTTTTTTATTAATTATTAGTTAAATTGAGAATGCCATTATCTGATCCCATATAGAAGCACTTTAATTAACTAGGACATGTAGCTGGATATAAGCAAAGAAGAAGACAATGCAAAAGGTATAATCATCAGATAAATAATTTGCTTAGACCAGCTTGTATTCATTTGCAAAAATGCTTCAAAGTAACATTAATAAAAAAAAAAATTATTTTGGAAGCTCATATAAAAAAAGTAATACTAAAATGTCTATAAGTATATCTACTTTATCATTAGTAGATGCAAATCAAATTTTAAAAAAAGAGCAAATGTCTTTCGAATTAGCATTTATGAAATCTGTATTTTGCTATAGACTTTTTTTATTACTATCTGAAATAAAACCTATTAGGAATTTATGATAGCAAGCAAAACCAACATTTAGGCTTTCTAGCCAAAAAAAACTTTTTATAAAATTGCTAGATTGTATTTTTAATAAGACTAAATGTGATACTAAAACTTTAATTAATAAATGCACAAATATATGTCTTATAACTAATAGATAGTCTGACTTGGTTCAACAACATTAGACAAATTACATTTTAATGACTCCTAACTCAGTTTTTTTTTACTGCACATCCAACTAGTAAAATGTGACAAAATGCTGAAATGATTATAAAAGATTTAGAAAAAGTAATTTTTAAAGTTGATTCATCAAAAATTTTAACCTTAATTACTAACAACATCTTCATAATGAAAAAAGCATGATGTTTACTTGAAATAAAATTTTCTAAAATGTTTTTTATTGGTTGTGTTGTGCATAGCTTGAATATTTTAATTGGTGATATTATGAAATTAACATAGTATACTAACACTTTAAAAAATGCTAAAGAGATCATTTTATATTTTTAATCATATCAAATTTCTATTGTTATTTTATGATGACATTAATTAACAATCTATAAGCACTGAATATTCTTAAAACTCTCAGTTAAAACAAGATAGGGGTCTTTGGCAACATGTTTAAATTCAATCTTACAAAATAAACTGGCATTTAAGTTGACCATTATGGAAATAACATACAATAATTCTGAAAAATTACTCAAATTAATTAATAAAGCTATAAATAATAAAAGTTTTTAGAAAGATATTGAGATTCTTTTTTTAATTTTAGATAAATTTGTTGTTGAAATTTCATTATTTGAATCAGATAGTCTATGACTAGCATTATTTTATGATTAGTATAATGAACTGTTAGAATTAGGTAATAAATAAATTTTTATTTGTACTAAATTTACCTATTATATTACAGATATTAAATTTGTAATTTTAAATATTTATTTTAGAAATAAATAATTAAATTAAAAGTATATTGAAAAGTTAATAGACAAAAATATATCATTTAGTTATAGCACTTGTGCATTTCTTAGATTTAAAATATTATGAAAGAAAGCTTACTACAAATAATATAACATTAATATCACAATTTATTCAAAAACATTATTCAAATAATGCAAATATTATCTGGTAGCAACTAATTGAGTACAAAACTAAAACAGATACATTCAATCTTTAATTAGTATGAAATACAATTAAAAATATTAATTTTGTCTCTTGGTAGAAAGAAAACTTTGAAATCTCAGCATCTGAATTATGTTAAGTTGCTATTAGGATCCTTTTGATTCCTTTATTATCTGCAGCTTCTGAATGTAGTTGGTCAGCTTTTTCATATATTCAAGAAAAAAAAAGAGCTCAATTAATTAATAACTAATTACTAAAATTGGTATACATATATAGCAATTATAAACTTACTTGTCAACAGTATAAATTTTCTAATGTTACATAAGCAGTAGCATGGGTAAATAATAGACCAACTCAACATCAAAGAAATATTGAATTACTAGATCCAACAGATAATAACTTGAATGATTTATATAAAGAAATATTTGTTAAGAATACAAATGATAAATTGCTTAAAAATTACTCAAATATCGAGAAAACTGATAGCAAAACAGATAATGAAGTAGATAATAAAAATGAATTATCAGTTTTTATTTGCAAATATATACTGTAGTACTATATGCTTTATTGCATAATAAAAATTGTTTTTGGTATTTATTTAATGCTAATTTATATACTATAATAGTGGTGCAGTTATTTAATTGATATTATCTGTAATAAAATTTTTTAAATATTTGCTATATAGAAGTTTATAAGTAAATACATTATCTTGAAAGAGTTTTTAAATAAATTAATTATATATTTATCTTTACTAAATTTACTGAGAATCATTCTAACAAAGATAACCAATTATAATCTTAATTATATAAATATTAATTACATGCATCATGCATATTATGCTTGTCATGCATATTTTCATATAATGTGCATAGTATAGCCTACAATGTGCATTTTGCCCATCTTTAGCCAGTATTCTGTTAATAATCTTTTAGGACCTTTTGTTAAAATCTTTTTAATTACTGACTTTTTATTTTATTTTTTTATTAAAACCCAATCTTTTTTTTTTTGTCATCAAAAAGTGGTTTTGGCAACACTTTAAAAGCACAGCTATTTGGTTTATTTATTCTTTAATTTGTTTTTAATAATTTTTTTTTTTGTCTTCTAATATTTTTTTTCTATTTTTGTGAACCATTTGGCTTTTCTGTTCTTGCTTGATTCTTCTTATAATAATTTTAGTTGTTACAAAATCATTCTGTTGCCTGACTTTAAATTAACTGACTTATATAAACTAAGTTAAACTTTCTAAGAAATTTAACTATATTTTTAGTAAAATTATTGCTTAGTAAATCTGCAATTTTTGCATTTTTTACTTCTATATTAAGGTTTAAAATTGTAAATTTTATTGTTATTTGTATTTTTTTGGCTTTAAGCATAATGTGGCATGTTAGGTTGTTTTTTTATAAAGTTTTGTATGCTTTAGATAGATTATGATACTAATTGGTTTCTAATACTTTTATTAATAAGAGTCTATAGTTGATCTGTATTTTGATAAAAGCTTCTTTTGAACTTATAGTATTGATTTATGCATGCAAACTTGTAATTTGCTTTATTAATAATTAATGTCAAAGAGAGTTGCAATTTTTATGATTTCTCTGTAACATAATACTATTGCAATTTTGAGTTTATGCTATTCTTAAAATTGGCTTTTGTATTGCTTTTATTACTGTTTTAGATACTTTTGTTACATGTAGCAAGTAAGTAAGCTTAAGTATTATGCATATATTATTAATATAAACTACTTGTGCTAATATTATTTTTTTGGTTTTAAGGCTTCTTACTATTATACATATGACTTCTTGGGCTTTTGTTTTAACTAAAGACTCTTTTAGCTTATTGTTAAGTTATATTTCCAAGAATCTTGTTATTTTTTTTTTGTATCTATTTATTGCTTATTTGTATCTTTTTATTTTTTATTTTTTCTTTTGTATTCATAATCATTAGTCTTGATTTCTTTTTATTTTATCTGAATATTATTAATTTTAAAAAACTTTTTTGCTATTTGAATTGTTTGCTTTATCTGCTCTTTGTTCTTGACAATTCATTAGCAAAAGCTACTACTACTTGCCTTTATTTTATTTTCTTGCAATAGTTAAGTTTTAGTCATATAAAATGTTTATTTTAGCTATATATCCAAGACTTAAGTTTTCTTAAAATCTTTCAAGTAGTAGGTTATAGAATATTCTCTATACTAATGATAATAAAACTTCATCTTGTTCAATACTATCTTTTACTTTCTATGTTTCTGTAATTCTTCAATATATAATAATTTGAAATTACTTGTTTTTAAACAAATTTAATATAAAATTTATAATTCTTTTAGGCATTTTAAATCTTCTTATTGTCAAATCTAGTGCTTGTAGAAATACTAAATTGAATGTATTTTTCATGTTTTAAAAAACCAGTTATAATTTCTTGTTATTGTCTTTAGCATTTTCCATAAGTAAATTAATAATATATACTGGTTTTTCGATTGAGTTTTTTGGAAGACCTATGAAATTAGAACCTTTGAGTGTTTTTTTTTCTAATAAACATTTGTGTTAATCTGTTTGTTAAAATCTTCATTATGCATTTTCTTAAAGTCTTTAGCAAAATGATGAGTTTGATATTATTTAAGTTATATTTCTATTCTGTTTCTTTTGGTATAAAGTATATCTGTAATATTTTTTATTTTTTTGATACAACATCTGCTTTGATGCATATTTTTGCAAAAGTTCTAAATATTTCTTATATGTATAAATCTGCTACTTGTATAAGTTTGTAAGTGATTCTTGTAACTTTTGAAGCTGTATTATTTTTTAAGCCTATTAGTATTTTTAACTATTTATCTGCTATAATGTTTTAGCTTATATCTTTTTACCAATCTGACTATATTAATATTTTGGATTTATAGATCTTTTTTTATTCATTATTTAAACTTTCTTTTTTAAAATTTCAGAGTCTTAATTAGTTCTGAAAATGATTTTGTTTTGTCAAGTATCTTTAGTAGTTCTATTATTAATTTTTTATTACTATTTATGTCTTCTATAAGTCTGTTTATTTAAATTTTTTTACTTGACCTATTGAGAAAACTTGTAAGCATTTTTTCCTGTTTGTCATTAATTATTTAACATCTTTATTCTATATTTTTTTTAATTTCTCTTTTTTTTAAAGTCTTAATCTCATTTGATCTTCTTGTATAAAATATTTTCTACTAACCTTTAAGATTTTCTGTTAGTTTTTTAATCCAACTTTTTAATGCTAGTTTAATATATATTTTTTGATATTGGTTAATTTATTTTATTTTTTTATTAAGTTCTTGTATATTATTATTTAAAAGACTAAGTCTAATATTTATTCTATCAATTCTAATTTATCTTTCTAACTGTATTAGTACTTTGCTTTTTTTGTTTGTTTTTTCTGTTTGCTTTTTCTTATTTTTTACTGTATTAAGTGCTTTTTTTTTAAAAGTAATTTTTTTGCAGTTAATTGTATATTATTACAGATAGTATTTCACTAGTTATTTAATTTATTTTCTATATTTATTAAAATACTCATATTACTTAACTTAAATAATATATTTTTTAAATCTTGTATATTGATTTTTTTTCTTAATTGTTGGTCAAGCTCTGCTTTGTAGTTTTTTTAGTCTTTTTTTGTTGCTTTATTATATAGATAAATTGTTCTTTGTTAACTAAATCTTTTCAGTTTTGCTGATTTCTATGTAGCTATTAAGTGTTTTAAATTTATTTTTGTTAGTACTACATTATAATCACTGTTTTGCATATATCTATTTCTTGTATTTCTGCATTATAAAGTCTATATAATAAGTCTTCTGTTATTTATATTTGATTAATTCTTGAACTCAAATCTCTACTTGACTAGAAAAATTTTTTTAATTTTGGATTACTGTTCTATATGTGTTATAATGCTTCTGTCTTGTTAGTTATTTAAAAAAAGAACCTTGTTTTTCTAACTTTTATTTTGAATTATCTAATCTATTAAGTTTAGTATTAATTATATTATTAAAATTTTCTATTATTATTATTTGTGTTCTTTGTAATTGTTTGATATATTTTTTTATAACTGTTCTTTGAATTTTCTTGTTTTTCTTTGCTATTAGGTAGCATATATAACATTATAATTACTATTTCTGGTTTTTTGAATACAAAGTGAACTATAATTATATTCTTGTTTGTTCTATCTATTTCTCTAAGATGGTTTTCTTAATATTTATTGATAAATATGCCAACATCTAAGCTTTTTTTCTTTTTCAAATTTAAATTTATTCAAAAGCTCTTATATTTCCTTATATTTCTTGTAATAAAAAATTCTTTTTTGTTTAGAATATTTTTTTTGCTAGACCAATTATGTCTATTTTGTTGTTAATTAGCCATTTATACAATATTTCAATTTTTTAATTATTTCTCTTAAGGCCATTGATGTTATATGCTATTATACAGTATTTATATTAGTTCCTTCTTTATTTTTATTTTTTTCTTTTATTTCTTCTAGGTATAGTATATTTTCTTGATTTGTAGTTTGTTTTCTATTTTTTCTATTAAAAAGACTTTTGTTTCTATATTTTTATTTTTTAATTTAACTAAAGCAAAATTTAGAAGCATTGTAATTATTCTCTTTTGATAAAGGTTTTTGATTGCTTTTTTTGTGTTTTAAGTCTTTCAAGTCTAATTAATATGCATTGTAAAAGGTCTTGTAGTTGTAAGTAATTTTATGTATTTGCTTTTTTTCTGTTTCTTTTCTTGTTTTTATATTCCTTGTTTTCTTAAATATTTATATTTTTATAAACTTCTGAGTCTGCATCTTGATCAAATCTATTTATAATTTCCTTTCTTCTGTTTCTGAGCTTTTTGTTTTTTTTTGTTTTTTTTTTATTACTTAGAGACTCAAAAGTTGTTGTATTTGATTGGTTTAGTTTGGATTGTATTTATTTTCTCTTTAGTTGCAAAGGTAATTATTGCTATTCTTCTTTGGATTTTATTTTTATTTGATAAGATATAAACAGACTTTGTATTCTTACTTCTTAGACATTATAGTAAGAGTATTTCTAATATGCTTCTAGGAAGTTTTATTAACTTTGTTTTTTTTTTTATAATCTTTATTACTTTTTATTACTCTAATTTTTCTGTAAATAAAATCTAATTCTGTTTTATTTATATTTGCTAATAGGTTCCAGATAGTTAAATAGTTAGTATAAGTTTTTTCTAGTTTTTTTTCTATAAGAAGATTTTTGTTTTTCTTTTTTTATTATTAACTTCATATTTAGATTGCTTTTCTTTAAAGTTTAGTTGCTTAACTTGGTTTTTTTCTTTACTTTTATTTTTTGTTTTCTTTAAGATAAGCTTAAGCCATTCTTTTTCTTTTTTACTAATTCTTTTAATTACTTTATCTCTATTATATTTAAATTAAAATTAACTTCAACTTAATTATTTCTTTTTTTAAAAGCTTTTTTAATTGTTTTTATATGTTTATTTTTTTCTAGAATCTATTTAATATATTTGATTCTTTCTTTTTTTGTTTCTTCAAGTAGTATATAAATAAAAAAATTGTTTTTAA